CACGTTTTTGTGCATATGACTATTATTATTTTTTATTTTAGATAAATACAAATTTTAGCACACACAAATTGACTGCAGAAGTTGATATAAAATCTGTCCCAAACACCAGCTAGTTGAGTAATAAGTGCATTTGGGACTTTTTAAACATTTTAGGTTTTTGTGAGTTTCAATAAAGCTATTTTTTTCCAGATTCTGATATTGTGATGTTGGTCAAAAACGTACATTTTGGAAGTGATATTCAATTAAAATAAATAGCATGTACTGTAATGTGGTTGTATTATTGAACATGATAGTGGCGTTGACAGGAGGGTAGAGCCTGTGGAAGCTTTGTTGTGATGGCAGCAATTATTATTTTAAGGCATATGAGGTGTGTTCATCTGTCCAACACACTTCATTAATGACAACTCGCCCGCACACACACTGTGTGTGTGTGTATAAATGTCAGAGGTTCTCCTCATTAGAGGCATTTCGTAGCTGCTGCAGTCACTTGGCTGAATAACGAACACATCCATCCATATTGTTTGGTTGAGTTTGTTGTGTTTAATGAGACGTACAGTCCAACACTGATGATTCAGAGAGTGATTGTGATGATGATGATGCTGAGGATGAAGATCACCTGAAGGAATGAAGTCTTAATTATCTTGTTTTAGTCTTTGACTCCAGTGGATCTTTCTTTGCCTTTTGCGATGAGGCTGATGGGTGGGTTTTGCTCTTTTTGGGGGTGGAATCCTGAGGTTTGGATTTGGACTGCGGTGGGCAAGGAGGTTTGGGCTGTCGTTGCGTTTCATTGGCTGCAGGCTGTCGGCGAATGCGCTGAGGCGAAGGGCTGTCGGTGCGAGAGGTGGCATAGCTCCGAGGGGAAGTGCTGATGCTTCGGGTGGCATTAACAGCTGAGGTACGAGTAACGGTACGTGTGGCGGTCCGACTTCCCTGTGATTGGGAAGGGCCTGAAGATGGAGGACGGGGTGGAAGTGTTTGAGAGGGATGGAGCTGAGGTTTAGGCGGCTGCTGATGGATATTTGTGTGCAGACTTGCAGACTTTTGAATCCTGGGATTGACAGAACTGTTGGTTCTGTTGGCGAGAGGAAAGAATGAGTCATATCAATCAAAGGTATTATAGGATAGTCTGCAGAATTTTCTTTATATAGTTTGTCAGTAATGGTGCCAAGCAAAATCTGAGGTAGACCATTCAATATTCACAATTTTACAGCCAGAAAATTTTATGATGAACACCCAAATGTTCACCATATGTCACTTGAACTAAAAACAAAATTGATATTTAATTAAATAATGATAGAGTCTGTTGCTGCATGTTTCAGAGTGAAGTGCAGCACTGTGTTTATTTACACACAAGGGCCTTATGATATTTTCAGTATCTCAAAATGAAGCGGTTAACAGAAAATGTGGCACACTCTATCTTTGCATGTGCTGTGGGTTTAACATGCATTTAGGAATGCTATGTGCGCTTTATTTTCACTTTCACATAATTTTGTGGACAGGTGATTACAGCATTTTACTAGATTTGTAATGGGAATCGTTTGTAAACCTGTTGTCACATGTAAATGTAAAAGTCAGAATATACAAGTTTATGGGTTCAATTCATGCAAGTGAAGAAATTAAAATATAAATATTATTATTAAATGTTACTTTTTTATTTTACAGTGCAGTTGTATTACAATAGTAATGTATTTCTGTTGTAGAGATATTAATATCAAGAACAAGAATATTAATAATAATATATTATTATTATTATTAAAACTGTTTGGCTTTCTAAAAACATAATAAACATAGATATACAGTATAAATGTAAATAAAAAGCTATAAATAAAAAACTAAATTCAGTGTGTCCAAACTTTGACTGGTAGTGTAGATTCAAATGAATAACATTTAAATTGAAATTCTGCTCCACCCACCTATATTGAATGAAAGACACAGATCTCTGGGTTTGTGGAAGGGTCGTGCCGCCCAGTTGGTCGGATGACCCCCTGATAGGTGTGACTGGACGAGGGATCCTGCTCCTAATTTTCCCATCTGCTCCTCTCTCTCCTCTCGCCGAGTCATCTGATTGGTGGGTTTCATCTTCAGATGCAGTGGTTGAGAGTGTCGGGGAGTGCGAGGAGGCGGAGCGAGAGCGAATCAGGTGGGTTTGTTTGCGCTCCAGGACAAGACGAGCCAGCTGTTGTTGTCGGCTTTTGCGAGTTCGCTGAAACTGCTCTTGACTCGTCTGCGATGACTTGTCTGAGCCTGTTTCCTCTTCTGACATAAGCACAGGGATACGGCTCCGCCTCTGTGGGAGTGGCTTTCTATCAGGTGACTCCGCCTCCGGTGGAGACATATCCTTCTCATCCTCCACCTCTGCATCTCTGTTTTGTTCAGGTGTTAGTGATGGACACTCTTCCTGCTCCTGTTCCTTTTGCTGGTCTACTTCTGGTGGGACACCCTCTGGTCTGACTTCCAGTTTGGCTTGTTTGGAGACTTCTTCCTCAATAACTGTAGTCTCTGGCTGGTCATGTGACTCGGCTAAAAACAAAGCCTCTGTTTCTTCTCTGTTACTCTTCTTTACTTTTTCTTCAGCTTCACTCTCATCCTTTTTCCCCTCATCCTTGCCTCTTTCTAATGTAATCCCCTCACTTTCCTTTTGCTCTCGTTCACTGACCCTTTCTCTCTCCTCTTTCTTTCCACCCGTCTCCTCACGCTCAGTAGAAATCATCTCATCCAGTCCAGGACGACGGTGTCTGGCTGTCATGACATTGAGATGCGTCGTCTCAGCGATGTGGATGAAAGTGCGTTCCACCTTGGTGAACGGCGGCGAGGAAGAGCCGCTGGTGATCACAGCTGCAGATGTCATGACAATAGGCCTGGGCTCCGACCTAAAGATAGAGGAAAGAGTACCAGGTTCGGATTCATCCGGCACGGGTCGCACGCCCTGCGGTGTCAATGCGGCGAGAGTTCCCTGCCCGTCACCAGGCGAAACCTGCCCATTACCAGCAGACACAAGCACCAATGTGCGTGAGCCCTCTTCCTGGTCGTGGTCCCGGTGGGCTGGGGCGAGTAGGGTGGATGCAGCGCCCTCTGGACTTCCCTCACTACTGCGAGGGCTTCCATCACTGCCTGAGCCTCCAGTCTTCACACCCTCCTCTCTCAGATCGTCAAACATCAACACACCAGACACAAAGTCGACTTGCTTCAGACGCGTCTGAGAGGTCGAAGGCGAAGGTTCAGCCACTGCAGCCTCCTGCAAGTCGCAATGCAAGAAAAAAAAATTGTGAATTAATGGTGAAAGAGTCTGTGAACTTTCATATAAAAACTAGCACAGCATGGGTTAAATTTTTTTAAATTAAGTTAAAGTAACTTTAATATACTATACTATATATACTACTTTTATAAACAATATATTTATATTACTATATATATACACACATATATATTAGGGCTGTCAGTCGATTAAAATTTTTTATCTAATTAATTACATGATGTAAATAATCTTTTTTTTTTTTTTTAAGTGATGTGACATGTGGCCAAGTATGGTGACCCATACTCAGAATTAGTGCTCTGCATTTATCCCATCCAAAGTGCAATAATAATAATAATAATAATAAGATTCATCTACTTTTCATCGTTTTTGCAAGAAGACCTGCTATTAGGAATAAGCTGGAATTTACCTCAGAAGAACAGCGCGATCTGACACGGCTTTATTCAGCGGAGGATGCCATTTCTGTAAAACGGATTTTACTAGTTGGGCTTTTCATAAACATCTTGCCAAACTGAAATGTGTGCAAGGGAGTGCAATATGTTGAAATACGATATGCATTCAGATTTATATAGGGGTTTTTATTCTACTATAGCCTATGACGTTTTTACTAGGCTACATCGAACGAAACAAGGCTTTTTTTTTTTTGCTATCATATTATAAAAATATAATTTATAATACGATATAGATATAAAAAGTAATGGGAATGTTTACACTGCACCATGATGAATGCTACATACATATTTAGTTCAGTGTTTACTGATCCACTATCAGATGTCGATGTTAATAATGTGCTAAGCAATAAGTATTTAGTTTACAAAATATCACAATATCAGAATGTTGTTTATGTACTGTATGAAAATACAAGCATATGTGCATGAATGACAGTACAAAATGTTGGTTTTTGTAAAGAGTAGGCAAAATTAGTATTAGTGCCAATACATGTACAGTATGTCAGTGTGCATGAAATATGGTACTCATTGCTTTGAAAAATGTAATGCTTACAGCTTGATACCTGTAATGTTTAACTTTTCTTGAGCGTTTTTATTATTCAGATATTTTGCAGAGTAATTCTATTTGTTAACCAAAGAAGGTTACATTTTTTGTTCAAATGTTTAAGTATTACATTTGTTTTAAAACTAAAATGCTAAACTATTCCACGCTTGACTCGATTTGAAAGAATAAAGAGTTTAATTTCTATTGTCTCTGCTTTAACGTTTATAGGGATTTTAACTAAAATCAACGATTTAAAGAATTAAGTTACTTATTGAGAATTATATATTTAATTATATTAAAAGTAATTTAAATACAATATTGATGTTGTAATTAGTAATTAATTACTTTTTGAAAGTAATTTACCCAACAATGGTTTACAGTTAAAATTACTTCTTAGTTAACAATAAAATTTGTATTATTATTATTATTATTACTTTGAGAAGTACAGAGTGTCATAGCAGACTTTTTGCACTTTAATATTCACAGACACTAGTCCATATCATGATTTGATTAAACATATAGACTTACTTTTGATTTATTCATGCAAAATATGCCAAATTCAGTGACATTCTACAGTAAATTCTATTTTTATGACTGGACTCTACGATTCCGTCTAAGTTTTCCACATCACAGAAATCATAGGGCACTACAGAAGTCATTCGTTTTCATTATTTTAACATTGGAAATTTTTTGGGAAAAGTTCAGAAGAGACATCAACGCTGACTTTCTTATGCGGGTGCACACTCACTCTCAGCAGCTCCTCGGGTAAATCTCCTCCGTCGTTGATGCCTCTGTTCATGCTGATGAAGCGCTCCACCGTGGGCTTGTCCCTCACGTTGGGGTTGTGCAGACTGGTGTTCAACATGATGATGGAAAACGACAGCACGTAACAGGTGTCTGCGAGGAGAACACAGAGTTTAAGGACTGAGAGGCAAGGTGCGTCTACTCTAGGCTAACTCTCTATCAATAAAATACTCCTGAACTGTAGTAGCAACAGGTCTGTGGTCGACAAGTTCTGAAATGTTCTCTGAATTACACAAGCAGTCAAATCCAGACACACCTACTCAATTATGACTATATTGTGCAGTGTGCATTTCTGACTAACAGTGAAGTAACACCGATGGGAATTATGCATGCATGTACGACCTGTGCTCTGGAAGACTCCAGGATTACAGTGACAGTATCTCTGTGCAAACGCCTCCATCATCCTGTCAATCTTCTGAGCCTCGCCGGGCAAGCGGAAGCTCCACAGAAACTGCCTGTAGTAAACATAAACGTACGGACACATCAGGAACACAAGCACTGCACAACAACTGTATGAATACTATTCAACAACCATATATATATATTTATGAAGAAGCATCCAGAAAAGTTGCAAATATAAAATCTGCTGACTTACCGAAGTGCTTGTACCAAGTTCAGATCCGTGAATTCGTGGAGATCAACAAAAGCTTGCAATACTTTAATATTGAAGTCATCTCTGAAAGAGAGGGAGAGTCATATTTTAACAACATCTCTGTTTTAATATGTTTGGTTCTGACTGATCATAGACAGCAGGGATGGGTCACAACGATTGTCTAGCTTTCAATTAACTACACGACTGGTGAGATTAAAGTCAAATCAAATTCATTTGTATAGCGCTTTTCACATTGTTTCAAAGTGGCTTTACATAAAATCATGATGTTAATGTTTATAATATCTAATATCTTCATGCATTATAGTTGCATTTAGCAGATTAGAGCTGGGCGATAATATAGTTTACATTTTGCAAGCAAGTGACAAGCAAGGCTAGTTTTAAATTATTAAAAAATAAATACTGTAATTAGCATGCTGTTCTTTAGCTGTTAGACAGTTTTCAGGGTAAAACCCTCACAGAAGACTGTCTTTAAATTCATCTCAAATGCACTCCACTTGCCACTTTTTTTTTGAGCATCTGACATATAGTTACAGTTTTGTACCTGCTTAGCATATCTCACAACAAAAATATCAAACTGCTTCTACTGCTTTTTTGTAATTTGAGAAACATCTCTTTTTTTTTTTTTTTCCTCGGTTCATGCAATGGAAGTCATTGGTAACCAAAACAGCTTTGTTACCAACAGTCTTCAAAAT